GGCTTCCGGATCCACTGGATTTCCAGCTACCAGAGCCTGAGCAACCGGCCTGAAAAATGCCCAAAAAGGAAATTTGGCAGAGCTATTCCCAAAATCGCGAAAATGTGCACAAACATGCATGCTTATGTGAAAAATACTTTGTGGAGGTCTAAAAAGGAGAACTGTCTAGCGAAATACTTACAATGGCAACATCTTGGCTATGAGATCCTCCGTCTTCCACTTTTCTTCCTTCAGCTCCAATGTTCGTACTTGTACTTCAGTCTCCAGTTGATCAGTATATTTCTGCATTATTGCCAGCATGTGGTCGACAATATTAAAATCCCTGGAACAATAAATTCCAATGCATATGAAAATAAAAACCGTCACACTAAATCATGGTTAACAGTTAGCGCTGCAGTAGTGGTTTTTCTAAAACGCTTAGGTCGTGTGATGCATCACTCATGCCTGCACCTACGTCATACTCATTTCTGCAGAAGTTTATCGTGACTTCTTACGACTTGGAATGCCTCTTCATCCGAACAATGTGTTTTTGTTCGACTGAGCAAGCTGTTGATTGAACTGCGCTTATGGGATATTGGGTGGTTGCTCCCAAGCAGCAGAAATGAAATACCTTCAAAAACTATTCTCCCGAAATGGGTACCCCCGAGACTTCGTTCGTCGATGTATACGACAACAACAGTCCAAAGAAAGCGCCAGAACTGCGACCACCAAAGCGCCAAAACCACTGAATTGGCAAACACTCCCATATGTGAAGAATGTATCTGAGCTTGTCGAAAGACAGCTACGAAAACACCAAATTTAAATTGCGCACAAACCGGGAACTACCCTGCGCACTCAACTTGTACACCCTAAGGACAGGGTCGATCATTTCGACAGAAAGCAAGTAATCTACAAAATACCGTGTTCCGATTGTGATGCAGTCTATTGTGGTCAAACTGGTAAAAACCCTAGCTACCCGCGTCCGACAACACCAATCAAACGTGAGGAACAAATACCACAAATCAGAAGTTTTCATGCACACATTGGAAACAGGACATGACTTTGCATGGGAGGAAACCCAAATCGTTGGCACCTCCCAACTAGACAAGGCCGCGAATTTTCTGGAGGCAATGCACTCACACGAGGCATGCATAAACAAGCATATCAATGTGGATATTAATTACAAATCCCTCAAAACCAGATGGAAGCAAAAACAACGACCACGGACGACAGGAGTCAATGCGGGTGACAATTATTCGCCTCACCTCCCCCCTCCCCCTCCCTCCCTCCCCCCTCTCCCGCTGACCGCATAAGTACATTCGGTTGACAACCATTCCACTCCTCGGCCGCGTAATTAAATGCGACCAACGATTATTTGCTAACATATTTAAT